ATACACATTTTTTGACTGGTACTACATTCTTAAAATGTGTATTTTTTCACACATTTTAGGATCTCCAAATTTACACATTTTTTGACAGCTGCATGCAAATATAAAAAATGTGTATTTTTTACTCATTTATGTGTTTACGCTGGTTACCGTGTGACACAACCTGCATTTGATTACAGTCGAGGGGTGAGTGGATTGCAATTGTTACACATGAAAAATCTTATTCGTTTACATTAAGTACAATCAATGAAAAATCGTGTTCACATTGCGTAAGCCTGCAGATGAGTTATGGGAATACTAAATTAATTGTTTAAACAATGTTTGTTTTAAAACTCTCTTAAGCTTTGAAGCATCCCTCGTTATGTTGATAGATTACATTAGTTACCTTTTATGACGCAAAGGCGCCCTTGTTGGTTAAAAATCGTGTCTCCAGAAAAACAAAAGTGAGCTATGTTAATGTAGTATATTTGCTTGTTACAATCTTCTCTAATGTCAGTGTCATCGACCGAGGACCTCACCACTCTACCACCGCCATGCGGCGACGACGACAACACCTCGGATCTAATGCTGCCTGATCAGGATAACCTCAACCATCTTCAAACATTCGCCACCGTTGACGAGACCCGTGGCACTCTGGACGCCGTTGTGGATCGGCACCAAGAGCTGGTATCGGTGGAACAATCCTTGCTTGAAATGCGGGACCTGTTCGTCCTGTTCTCAACCCTGGTAATGGACCACGGTAGTATACTGAATTTGGCCGAGGGGTACGTTCAGGTGGCCTCGGAACATGTGGCCAAAGCGGCAGAGGATATCAAGCAGGCTCGAAAGTTCTACACCCGGTCGAACAACTACAAATGGCTCTGCTTCAGTATGACCCACTGTTTGTCGGTGGTGCTGGTGATATTGATAATGATTGCGGTGTGTATGGCAGTAAAGATATTCCTGCTTTGAAGCAAATGGCGTTGTTTTATGTGGGAAAGAAATCCGATCTAGGTGGAAGGGCTCTAATGTTGGCCTATGGATCTAAGATTGGGCCCATCGCAAAAAATCTGCTATTGATCAATTTTATCTAGATGAACACGTCATTTTGGCATTTAGGCCGACATTACATCCATTTGCCCTATATGACGGAAAATGAAAATATATATTTAAAGCTTGTCTCACGTGAAATTAACTCGTAATATGTGTAATTTATCTTCCAGCGGCGCCGGTGGTGTGTTGGTAAGCGTGATTGCCTCTCACCCCAGCAGGTCTGGGTTCAATCCCAGTCGGCGCCGCCGGGATGTTCTGAAGCATAACATCTCTGATCACGCCTTCCTTCGGATGGGAAGTAAAGCCGTTGGTCCCCGGTTCATGAGTTGATGGGTCGATAGGTAGGGCCCAGGTGTGGGAGTTGCCTCCCTGGCGTCGGTAGCATTGGTGCTCAGCACGGAAAACAAGATCGACGGAAAACAAATCAAAGAAAGAAAAAACTATCTTCCATCCACATGTTTTTTTTGTCACTATGGATGGTCACTGATGAAAAATTGACAGCAGAGTGGGGCCTAGGCGAGAAAGCGAGAGGTGACACAGTCGGAAGAAGTGTTTACTAAAATGAACCATGCCCATTTTGCTATGGCAAGTTTGCTATAAGAAATGCTCCTCGTGTTTATTAGCGAAATTCACATCAAAGATTGATTAATTGCGTAGGAAATCAGTTTGGCACGGCATTTGTTAACAGCATACACCTTCCGGTCGTATGAAACAGGTCAAAAACTGTCCAAATCCGCAGATAAAATTTTTTGTTTTGAAATTCTGTATGGCAAAATAGTGAACTTTCCGTGAATATTAACGACACAGAACTCACCAACACTGGGAGACCGTGAGTTCCTGCCCACCTGTCATTTCCCATCTCGGCCTGCGAGAATGTTCAGCATGACGGCAGAGAGAGAGGGAGGAAATCCACCTCTTGCTCCTGCTTGCTGCTTGCCACGCCGTCCGAAGCGGGAATGAGCAGAAGACCGTGCATAGTATCATCATGCTACTCGGGCAATCAGGAAGAATTCAACCAAAAATTCCCACCGGCAATAGTAGAAGTAGCAATAGACCTTCAGTAGCTTTCCAATGCCAGCAGTCGCTGTTGAGTACTGAATTCGTCTAACTGAGCTATACAATTGATGGTGAGATAGTCAGACGACTGTGATTTTCCATGAATTTGAACTTTTGAACACCCTAATAAACAGGAGGCCCAAGCCTCTGAGATTTAAAATTTACCAGTATTGCACACTTGTCATCGTGTATCCTAACGTGCCGATCAGTGTGCTACGATGTGCTTTGGCACAGTGTGCAGAGTTGATTACCCCTTGAAGATGTCAAACTTTATCTGTTTGACTGGAAAAAAAAATTGAAGAATCAAGTTTAAACTGGAATGCGTTGTAAATTTGTGTGTCACAAAATTGTCACAAAAAATTTAGGACAATACTAGAATGGTTGCATTGTGTCCGTGAACAGCACCGTTTGATTTCTGTTGACATATCGATATTCAGCCAGTCCATAGCAAAACGAGAATTTCGTAACAATTGGTAGCTTTGTTCCTTATCGAAAAATATTAGACCCATATTTTTTTTTTATTTTCTCATTAGAGTGACCATTTGCATGTTAGGGTGGGCAAAAAAATCGAGTTTTTTCTATTTTTTCTAAAAATGGCATTTTTTAAAAATCATAACTTTTGAACCATTGAACCGATTTGAATGATTAAAATATCAAATGAAAGGTTATTAAAAATACTTTTCATACTACACTACATTTGAGCCTGACGTGACAAAGTTTTCAGAATGCTATAATGTGACGTCATGCTCGTTTGACTCATGGCTACCAATGTAAATACATTTTTTTAAATACAATATTAACCTTGGCTGTTGACAGCAGGTCCAGCGGTGGGCTCTTCGGGTGCCAAGTTTTCCGTATGATTTTAGCATGTACTCTGTCTAGGTAGCTATTTACTTGGTGAAGTATTCACTTTGAATAAACAAGCCTATAAAAGCAGAAGCAGGAAATTGATATGGATTATGTGACTATGTCAGCTATGTATCAATGGAGACGCAGGGTAATCTAGTCGTATTGGAGTAATGAGCGAAATTTCTAAACATGATAATTTCAAAAAATTGTAACTCAAAAACGAAGAAAACTACATCGCAGATTTTTTTATATGTTGTGAAGAAAAGCCTAAATTAAAAAAAAAAAATATAAAAACATGTTACGGGCATTGTCTACAAACCATGAAAACCATAAAAAACAAATACAATCAAAGTTCATCTATACAAAACTCCAATTTTCGAAAACTTTTATATTTTTTCTGAAAAGCATTTTTAATAACATTTCATTTGATATTTTAATCATTCAGATCTGTTCAATGGTTCAAAAGTTATAATTTTAAAATATGCCATTTTTGGAAAAAAATAGAAAAAAGTCGTTTTTTTTGACCACCCTAACATGGAAATGATCACTCTAATGAGAAAATAAAAAAAAAATATGGGTCTAATATTTTTTGATAAGGAACAAAACTACCAATTGTTACGAAATTCTGAGAACCACTATATCGTTTTGCTATGGAATTGATAGTGATATTGATCGTATGGACAAAAAGATAAGACACACATTTTCAACTTCGGTGACATATGACATATGTTAAACCACTGGTGAAGTGCAAACATTTGCTTTTATAAGATTGTAATTGACTGATTTATTACCATCAGAAGATCAGGGTGCCAATACAGCCGAAAGCAAGATTACAAAAAAAAATGCCGACGTTCCGTATTTAGGGTTATTGGATAGGGTTTTTGATCTAATTTTCGTCCTACTAAGAACGGGGTTGAACAAAAAATTGAATATTTCTGTGAACGATGACTTCTAAATTTATTCACCTATCCATACGTACAGCTGGATTCGATAAAGAGTCACAAATTGTTGAGATATTGTTTAAAAGCTTCTTGATTCTAAATTCGTCCTATGAGTTTCAATTCCGTCCTAACGCATTGAAACGCCATTAGATTTTCTTCGTTCTACGGATAAACGTAGAAAAAGGGGATTCACAGGGAGCGCTTCTTTTGTTTGCGCTATAATAGGATTTATGTTGTAGCTAATGAACTAACGCATCTGAACAAACCTATTAGTGATTTGTACACGGTGAACTCATTGATATTATTGATCTTTTCTGATCGATAGAACGGAAATGGGCGATTACGACGAAGTAGCGCTCTACCCTATTTGATATTTTTTCCCCAAATGCAAACCGTTCAGTCCGAGACCAAATTATTAATAGATTGTCCAAAACATAATTCTTTCAGCATGCTTCGCTCATTCCATCTCCAGCCGAACTCTTCAAATCGTCCAATGTGTGTTCGATAGATTCTCTTCACAGACTTTGTGTCTTTCGGTCACTTGTTCTAAGTTTCACTCATCAAAATCCTAGCTGTGGAGACTGATTTGACCTAGCAAAGCAAACAAATAAGGGGAAGTGAAGAAGCGAGTCGATACATTACATCGGACGTTTTGAATAGTTCTGCGAGAATTTTTCGTTTTCAACGCACACTTTTGATTCATCTATAGCTATCAGCGTTGCGGATTGCTGTGATAGGAGGGCAGAACAGTTTCATTTCGCGCTATTATATATGCCCAAAATGTGGCTAATATCGTTCATCATGTGAAAATGCACAGTAAAAAGTTTTGAATACTACATTTGGCGTGAACTACCGGACAGGAGAATATGGATTGTATTACTTACAACAAGTTAACAAGATTGATGTTTTCATACAATGTTTGAAATATTTTATTATGAATTCCAACGTTGCCAAAATTTTCACTAGTTTTTCGAACTGTGTAAGAACTTATCCAAAGAATTTTTAAACCATGCCATTGCGTTCCAAGAAACCGCAAAGCACTCGCCAGCACAGTCGGTTGCAGATCGTGAGAGCGGGTAGTCTAGACTTGGTCTGGGTGTGAACTGACGCCGATGTCCGAAATTGCGCCGAAGATGGTCAAAGATCGATTGAACGAGTTACTAGAGGTCAACTAAAAAAAAATAATTTTAATTTTATAAATGACTACCTACAGCGGTGTGCTCTGTTTTAGAAAAGTGAATTCAAGGACTTGGAAGACACCTCCGTCCAGGAGCATGATCGCAAGATACTGCACAACCAGAAGCAGATCTTGCAGGATCTGAAGCAAGTGGGTGGTTCCGACATGGGCATTCAAACGATGATATTCAAATCCGTTGTAGTTTTCAGAAATCTCGAGGTGGATTGATGACTTGCAGCAGAACATCCTCGACATAGAGGTGAACCTTTTCGCTGATGAGAACGACAACGGCGACACCGGTTCGGTCAATGTCAGTCAAAGGCTAGATGAGAACGCCAACTTGTGCTTCAAAATCTTCAATGCCGTCAAACGACTGCAGGAGGATCTGGACAAACTGAAGCAGCAGCAACAGAACGATGACACGGAAGAGGAAGAGGGCTTGGTGAATCTCGTGCGACGAACGCAGTTCGATAACATTAAGACTGCCTACATTGATGCGTACTGGAAGTACAATGCGGTGGTACGCCGCTACGAGGATGAAATCAAAGATAAGAGCTTGGTCGGTGAGTATCGAACAAGCATCCCTACTGGACCTGTTACCAAATATACTGCATTAACTGATAGAACCTCAAGCCATCAAAACTTCCTCAAAGTACCAAGGCTGCAAACTGCGTGTCGATTCATGGTTCACATGGCTGGTTATCAACAATACGATGATCAATCGTTATGATTCAGCCACCATTCGAAACTTTCAAGCTTTGATTTGGAACTATCCCGAGCAAAATACATAACTGATTCTAAGCAATTTGGTTACCAAATTTTAAGATTGAGCCACTATTTGAAAGGTATGACTATCTACTTTCGATCAGAATCGACAGGGAACCGATTGGATCTTTGCTTGGTCAGTCGGGACGGGATACCCGTGAGATGTGGCTCTGCGGAAATTCTGATTCACCGGGAAAATGGACAATTCCCAGGGGGTAAATCAGCCTGTGTTGATAGTGTTTCTTGTGTATTTTTGAGTGTCGGAAGGTGCTTCTGCATGTGAGTGAAAATTAATGCTTACTGGCAAACATTTCAACGGATTTTTTTTGTTGCTCTCGCCAAAAATTTATCAATTTAAAAAATGAAATTGCAGTAAAAAAGCACACGTCTACGTAAAAAACTTACAGGAATTCAAATTCTCATCCCTGATCCTCATCCGCATCACCTGTCTAAAAGAGTGTGCAGTATATGTATGCCTGGAGTTCCACTCCCTCAACCGTTGCATTCTCATGTATGTTTGACATCCTGGCTCGTCTTCCTCTTATTCTTCTTCTTCTTCTTCTTCTTCTTCTTCTTCTTCTTATTCGTCGTCTTCTTCTTCTTCTTCTTCTTCTTTTTACTCTTCTTCTTCTCCTCCTCCTCCTTCTTCTTCTTCTTCTCTTTATTTAACGTCGATCTCTGTTCCGCAATCTAGTGCCAATCACCGACGGACATCGATTGTCATCCATTGACGACAATCGAATGTGCAGAAAGGCAGCTTCCACACCTGCGTAGGATATCGCACCCATTCAAACATACATGGGCCAAACTGATTTCCTACGCAATTAATCAATCTTTGATTTGAATTTCGCTAATAAACACCAGGAGCATTTATTATAGCAAAACTTGCTATAACAAAATGGGCATAGTTCATTTTAATAAACAAACTAACACTTCTTCCTTGTGTGTCACCTTTGTATTAAGCGCCTATGTCTAGGCCTACTGTTCGCTTTCCCTTTCATCACATAACATGTGGAACTTCATGCAAAAAGCTGACTCAAATCTGACCTCTTTTTTGTTTTGCCTCAGTGGTATAACTGGCATAGTTGGACATAGATCTGTCAAAATAAAATTTTCGTGATATCGACACTGAGCATTCATAAGGACCAATGTTAAAAACATAAATAATGGCTTCTTTCGTAAATGTCTCGAAGGTCAAAGTCGATCTACGTAAGCCACTAATTTTATCGGATAGAAGGACTCTTTCTCTACACAATCATGGTGTTGGTTTTCTTGAAGGAGTTTTCATTTTCGAGAAATTCACACAAAAAGTAATTATTTACGTTTGCTGCATTGGCCCTTACGAAAGTAAGCATTGGCGTTGACGGCGACTCTGCAACTCATTGGTAAGGAAATGTTCACCAAGTTTCACGCACATACTGATGTTTGCTTATGGGATTTTACCATAGAAGTGAAGAGTTACAAAGTGACCGAAGAGATGGTGTGACCGAATGAGATGGTGTTCGCCCGCTGTTTAAATGCTTGACGGAGTTTGACGTGTTGGCATTCTGTTTTCCGACTAGCTCGACAGGGGGCTTTCAAAGGATTTTTTAGCTAGTATTTTCAAGTCGGTCAGAAGCCAATCAAGAGCGTTGTTATTCAGTAATATCAACAATCAATACGAAACTAACGATTTCAAATTGGCTCACCACTTTAGTAGCCTATTGGTCCCAAGCAAACGATTAACGTACCCTATTCTAGTTGAAATTCTATTACTACACTATGTTTGTTTTGATTCGCTATGAAAGTTTGACAGATAACATCAGGGGTGTGTGGATTCATGCAGAACATGCAGGGGTGAGTGAAATAGCTTGGGACTGCTTGGGACCGTTGTTCTGGTACTGAGTGAGCCAAAAATAATAATGATTTTCTTCGGGACCCAGTGGTCTTAGAGTTACCTCTATGGTAATATTGCCTATTTACAGATGCATTATTTCTTCGTCTGAATAGGTGCATTGGATTCATGACGGACATTATGTTAATTGAATATAATTGAATTCAAACAATTATCGGAATGGAACGTGGCCCTTGCTTTTTCGATACAAAAGTAGAAATAGACGAAAAAGTAAAGATGGTAGCTGCTTTAAATGAACCAAAAAAAAATCGATTGAAAAATCCGGAAATCGACGCAAATTTAGCGAGAATAAAGTTCCCGTCAAAGGAACCAACATCCGTGACCATTCGACCATTTCGGACTATATTACTGAGGCTTCAAGAGAGTTTTTTTTTCTGTAATGAACATCTCCACCGATTTTCTCGGTGAAAACCCTGAACATTGAGATTTAAATCAAGATTATCTTAGAGGTAAGTAAATATAACAAATCATCAAGATCAAAGTTATTTTTTGTTGATGTGTCATGTTCATGAAAATGTATTCGCTGTTACCAACCGAAAGAGAGTGATATATTTTCATAAACATTGTTTCGATTTTTAACAAAAAAAGTGCTTTAAAATTTGTAACGATCAGGAATTTTGCATGAATTTGTATATAATTTAATAGGTTTAAATTATTGAATTAAATTCCTTAGGGTAGGCAGTAGGAAGACACAAGCATTTTTGCTGAAATCTTTCCTAAGGCGGGTCCATTTAATTGATGGATAAGGTAGGAAAGAGACAACGGCACTTCTATCGGCCAAGTTATCTTTCGTGTTTTTGGACTCACGAAAGTACACGATGGGTTTCGGGAAAAGATGGACTTCCGGTCCGTCCGAGTCTTACATTTCCTTAATCTGAGTATTCACAGGCTCGACCTTTTCGTCCGTGACTTTCCACCAATCTAGAAGTGTGCGCGTTTGTTCGTGTCCGTTAGTGTAGCGAAAATTTAGTTAGAACCTAAAGTGTGCGTGAATTAGAGGTGTGCGGTAGGAGATAGTTGCTAAGAAAAAAAAGTGTTGTACCTACATTCCGCAGCAACCAATTGCGCACCCAAGCGCGATTCTTCTCCCCGTCGGACGGAATTTCCCGGCATTTGCCAACCGGCCGGAAGCGGACAGGTCCGTCAACACATCGGTCCGAGGAGGCTCGAGGGACCTCCACGTGGACAGGATCCACGCGCCGGCTCGTCATCAAAACCGGCACGGCATAGTAACCGCCATCGCATTGGCGTGTGAAACGCCGAACCGCCATTTGCCACCGTCATCAAAGGGGTGACGCTTTCTCTACGGTCATCGAACGCGACACCGAGTGCATCGAACCCGCCAACCGGTCATCGACTGTGACCGTTGGCCGAAACCCACGTAAGCTACAACAAGCCATCATCTGGTGAGTCAACCAATCTTTGATTTTTTGTGGAGTGTGGCGTCCGGTGAGGGCGCCACGGAGTTTTTTTTGCCAGTCCTAAGGCTGATGTAATTTGGGTCGAGTTCCGTGACGATTTGCCGAAACTCGTGACTCGTCAATTCCGCCAAAAGCATGCGCGCGTAATTCGACGCGGCAAATCTTGTCACCAGGAGCACATGCCTTGGAAGAGCTGAGCTACCGATTTGTGACGACACTCAACAACACATAACACTGAGCACATGAGTACATGAGAGACAAAACGAGAAGGAGAGTATGCTAGGGAGAGAGAAAAACCGCACACAGTAGGAGAGCGAATAGGGACGAACACACAGAAACAGAAATAAAACGAACTTTGTACAATGTAAATAAACAGTGAGAGGCACTCCATATATCGTCGTTCATGTTATTAATAAATGTTGTTTTCACATTCCAAATCTCCCTAGCTTAATTATTTGAATGTGTTTGACATCACTCCGCGTTCGTGTTAGTTTTCGTAGCCCGTCCTCTTGTTGAGTTTGAATGGTGGGAAGTACATTCCACTACCAGATTGGGGAGACGTCTAGTGGCAGGTGACGGGACTGACCAATGATGAGGAGTTCTCTCTCGTAGAGTTTTAGGGTATGCGTGAGCTCTACCGTTTCTCTGAGTGACTTTCTTGAGTGAGAATCCATGGGGATAATAGGGAATTCCCGTTTGGCCGTTTAGTTGGAAGCTGGCTTGCCTGATCCGTAAATCCTTTCTAGGAAACTTAATGGACTCGCCCTTAGGAGAGTCTCAACCGGGCAAATTCACATTGGGCGTGTGGTCTCCCTTGGGGAGTGGCGCTTAAGCCACACGTTTTAGAGACAGATCGTCCGGGCTAGCTACAAATTATTGAAAGTGACGGCGGTTCTTTTCCACTTAAGAGCGCAGCAGCGAGTTCAAGCTCTTGGGGTTGTGAATGATGCAGCGGGAAAGGGCAGTAAAGCTTGTTTCCGACCTCAACAACTCGGTAACCAAGAATCCCGAACCAGTCTTGTAAGCAGTAACGGTAGTCGACACATTTTCTGTGATAATCGACTGACTTTGTCTCCGACACTTGCAAAACAAACTATCATAGGACAGTACCAAACTATACTGTCGTATGACAGGCTCTGTCATATGACACTGTCGCCGAAGACCGTCACGAATGTATGCATTTTAGTTTTTCTTATAATAAGAGCTGCTTATGTTGTGCTTGTGTGAATTCTGAAAATACCAAGCAATGATGTCTTAGTAATACCATTTCTGATCAGACATGGTTAAATTTACACCAAATTGAGGAATTAGAACAAAATCACACATGTCATATGATAGTTATTTGATAATTTTCTTTTTGCTCGAATGTTATTCTACCGTTTGTATTGTGTGAGAGAGACGACTGTAGAGCATGAGTGTACAAATACAAACATACTGTCGCGCACGACAACGAAACAAGTGTAGTAAAAAATGTCAACGGTTTCAACCTCTGTCCCGAACAACATGAATACCTACAGCAAGTTGTGGAGTACCACCGAAAAATGAAGCCGATGAAATATTGAAGTCTGAGCAGCAGCACATCGACTAAAAACCAATCAGATTGAAATGAAATTCCGAATATTAATAATTACTGCCACTGTACCACACTGAACCAAAACATCCGCCATACTTCGAATGATTATTGCATTGCTCGAGCCCTTTAACAATATGCATTCGAATTTCGGATGATTTTCTGATGGATGAACATCCATATGACTGTCATCCAAATACAGGATGATTTTCGTTTGAAAATTAGCTATAAAACATACTCAGAGGACAAACTTTTAAGAATAGTGTGACATGCAAGTGCTTTTAATAAGATTTATAATTTGATTATCTACAATTCCATACTGCATAGTCATGAAGCCATTCCATTATGGATACAAAAATTTTTCGTGGTGGAGAAAACCTCCTCCACCACGAATTAGCCAAACATTGGTTTTCACCTTTTACCTATGTTCGTAACAGCTCTGATAGCGATGCATATGCTTCCACCTTGTTTGTCAGCTCAGATCAGCAAATGACGTTTGATAGAATTATTTACATCATAGTTTTGAATGATTTGCGTTATTGGGCTGAACCAATACCATATGCATTTCCATTTAGTATGACAGTCATTCTGCAGAGAGCATTACGCATTTCAACTGAAGGCCCTATCCCTTCTCATAACAAGTTTCATCCAGTATTCGAGAGGAAAATCATCTGATTTCAAAACAACCGTCATCCGGTTGCAGCTATCATTCGAAAAAGCGATTTCGGTGTTTTGTTTTGAATGGTCTGAGGTTTCATTCGATCGGAGGATGATGTTTGTGTACAGTGCACGCGCACCACACCCATTGTGCGTACGTAGCGTACAAGCAGCTGAAAGATGCAACACACCCGCTGTCAAACCAGTGCAGCATAACAATTTGTACGTAGTGTAAATAAATCAGTTGAACTACGTACTCCGTCGCGTCTGCACTCGAATTCTCATCGTATCGTTTTTCTGTGGTGTTTCCGAACGATTTCTAGGAGAAAATCCCGTGTACATTTTGATTGGTTGATTAAGGATTCCAACAATTCATTCCTTTGAATAAAAGTGGTCAAGTGCTTAAACATAAATTTGGTCCTTCGAGCCGTGCTATCCATCTTGACCACTGCGTGATGGGGAAGGAAATAGCGAGGCTGGACATTTCGTTCATCGGGACTGATTTCTCGCCTGTGTCCTAACGCCAAATATTCGTGGATGAACTTCTGGTACATTGCCTTCTTCTCAGGATCTCGGGTTAGCGACCGTTCTAAAGCGTAGAAACGTCGCGTAGCGTTGTACCAGTTGTCATCTAGCTGCAACAGGAGTTCTTCTCGCTTCGGAAGTAGGACAACGTAGCGGCCATCGGAGTTTCGAGTTGTGTTCTTGAGGAAGTGTTCTTCGCAGAAACGTTCGGACGGAGACCAGCCTTTTGTCTTTTGAACCTCCTCCAACTGCCAGAAACGGTTGACCAACTCGTCGATTGTGCAGGAATTTCAGCTACGTGTTCCTAGACACGTTCTCAGTTCAGGTTACGCACGCCTGGAAATTCACGGCTTCAGCGATGCATCAGAAGCTGCATACGGGGTCTGTCTGTACCTTCGGTCAATCACTTCTGCTGGATGCTGCACAACTCGACTCTTGATGTCGAAATCCAAGGTCGCTCCGATAGACACCAAAAGCATTCCTCGACTCGAGTTATGCGCTGCTCAACTTCTGTCCAAACTATTGGTACAAGCCAAGGACAGTGTTGATATTTCCGCCACGATCTACTTGTGGACTGATTCGACCATAGTGTTGAATTGGCTCTCGGCAACACCGTCTACGTGGAAGACGTTTGTGGCCAATCGTGTGGCTGATATTCAGGAGCTCACCACTCATGCTGTCTGGAACCATGTTCCGTCCAAAGAAAATCCAGTGGACCTCATATCTCGGGGCATGAACCTCAACGAACTTGAAGAAAACTCACTATGGTGGCACGGACCGCACTGGCTTGGAACGCTAACTATTCCATGGCCTACTAAGTACGCCCCCACAACATCATTTCCGTTGGAGGAATCTGAAACTCGCAAGATCGTCGTTCTTCCAGCCGTCGAAGATGAAACGCCCAACGAGTTAGTTTCCCGGTACTCCAGTCTTCGTCCGCTGCTTCGGATTGGTTCGCTGGTACGACGGTTCGCCGAGAATTGTCGTCGCCACAAGAATCTCCAAGATCCTCTTGTTGGTCCGCTCAACGTAGCTGAAATCGATCAAACGCTGCTAGCCTTAGTTCGCCTAGCTCAAGAGCAGCATTTTGAGAAGGAAATCCGTCAGCTTTCCACTATTGGTCAAGTGGATTGGAAATCCAAGCTCTGCTATCTTCATCCACAGCTCGTGGACGGTATAATTCGTGTTGGCGGCCGGTTGCACAATGCACGAATACCGATTGAGGAGAAGTACCCGATCGTTCTCCCAGCCAAGCACCAACTGACCGCAATGATTGCAACGAAGAAACACCAGAAGACGCTCCACGCAGGACCGGGGCTACTGCTTTCGTCCCTTCGTCAACGATTCTGGCCTCTTGGCGGCCGGAATTTAGTTCGCCAGAACGTGCACCGATGCGTGACTTGCGTGCGAGCGAAACCGAAATCACTCGAGCAGTTGATGGGACAACTTCCTCCTGTGTGGGTCAACCAGGCGTACCCATTCCAGAATGTCGGCATAGACCTTGCCGGCCCGATCTACGTGCGCACTTCGTTAAGAAACAAGCGCAGTCCGTTCTTCAAGGCGTACATCGTGGTCTACATATGCCTCGTAACCAAAGCTGCTCATCTCGATCTTGTGTCCGACCTGACCAGCGTAGCATTCATTGCCAGCCTGCGGCGATTCAGCGGTCGCAGAGGAAAGCCTGCACACGTCTACTGTGACAACGCGACAAACTTCGTTGGAGTAAAAAGGGATCTGGAAGAGTTACGAAAAGTATTCCTCTCACAGCAGCACAAGGAGTCAGTAGCACGAGAGTGTACATAAGATGGCATCCAGTTCCATTTCATCCCACCACGTTCGCCTTCGTTTGGTGGAATCTGGGAGGCCTGCGTAAAATCAGTCAAGACCCTACTTCGCAAAATTCTCGGCAATACCCACCTCACCTCACCACCACCCCATCCCGATCAGCAAGACGTTCCTGAGACCCGCTTGTCCCGGTGGAGACGAGTACAGCAGCTCACTCAACATTTTTGGTCCCGTTGGCACAAGGAGTACCTGGCTACGCTTCAAAACCGTTACCGCTGGAATCAAGCTCTCGACAACCTCGCCGTCGGTTCCATTGTTGTTCTCAAGGACGAGAATGTTCCGCCACAGAAATGGCCTCTCGGGCGCGTGATCACCATCCATCCCGGCACAGATGGGCTAGTTCGGGTTGCCACAGTAAAGACAAACTCCGGAACAACCAAGCGCGCCATTTCCAAGTTGTGCTTACTTCCGGTTGAGGTTGATCCTGCCACCGTAGTGTCGAATGTTGTTCAAACCATCGGTATTCCGGCTAAAACGTCGCCTGAAGAAGGCCCTCGCTCAGGGAACAGAGCCGCCGGACGAGTTCCCGGCCCTTGCTCAGGGAACAGAGCCGCTGGACGAGGTCCCGGCCCTTACTCGGGGAAATGAGTCGCCAGACGACATCCTGGCCCATGCTCGGGGGAATCGAGTGGTTCGTGGTACATCTGTAAAGAGTCAAGCTCGCCGTGTGGGTTCGTGGAACCCATATGGCTCGGACTTGACGCAAGTGAAGTACCCGCTCTTTTCATTTTTTCTTATCCAACAATTCGCGTACAGATGTTCCTCCTTTATAGCACACCGTCCTGCACAATCTTGGTTGTCATCTTTATTCCGGAAGCTGTGAGGGAGCCTGTCCTGAAAACCTGTACCAATCAGAACCCGTGTATCAACATCACCGTATAAGACGTCGTAGAAGTTCCACCGCCAGTGACCGATGAACTCCCCAAAATTTCATTGGCGGCCGGAATGTTTAAAACCAATCAGATTGAAATGAAATTCCGAATATTAATAATTACTGCCACTGTACCACGCGCACCACACCCATTGTGCGTACGTAGCGTACAAGCAGCTGAAAGACGCAACACACCCGCTGTCAAACCAGTGCAGCATAACAATTTGTACATAGGCTGTGGTCCATTTGGTGAATTTTCACTTAAATTTGACACTTCGAAACTAAATTATAATGTTCGAAAATCCCTCTGTTGTTGATCGGCCAATTTTCGAGAAGGTGTGTGTCAAAATTGATTCCTTGTCTGTCAGATATAAGTCTGCTGGAATAGCAGGTTAATTTGGAAATTTTCCATCTGTCAAGTTTAAGTGAAAATTCGCCAAATGGAACACAGCCATAGTGTAAATAAATCAGATGAACTACGTACTCCGTCGCGTCTGCACTCGAATTCTCATTGTATCGTTTTTCTGTGGTGTTTCCGAACGATTCCTAGGAGAAAATCCCGTGTATATTTTGATTGCACTATAGCCTTTAGGTAGGGAACTCATTTATACATTCTACACGCTATTTGAAAACTACCCACATTTGACAAATGAACAAAGTCGATCAGATTAATGTCGATGTTGTCCATTTGTCAACTTTTCAGTCCCAACACAGTTTACCCATTTTTGGGTAGGTTCAGTTTTGACCGATCTGGGTGGATTCTACTCAAATTTGGGTAGTTTTGAAATAGCGTGTAGATGTACGTGGTATCATGAACCGATTGAAGGTAGTGAATTCAGTGCCCATATTTCAAAGGGGCGTAATTGCTTTTGTAAACAATGGCTTTAGCTATCGATTTCTCGCAAATAAAAGTCCATCCCTTCAAATTAACAATGCTAGCTGGCAAAGTAAACATTCCTCTACCTGCTGGTGTCATTAATCTTCATGAGTAAGTTTTAATTCACGAGAAATCGACGGCTAAAGTCATTGTTTACTAATACAATTACGCCCCTTTGAAATGTTGACACTGAATTCTTATTACGTGTTTTCATTATTAGGCTGGTCTATAAAAGTGTATTTAATACTAATTAATTATTTAGCAAGAAATATAAATATAACAATTAACGACATTCATGCTCGTTACACATTGTCGAGAACCAGCCATGCCAACCTGGGTACTGCGGAGTCGATCGATTTTATTTTGTAAGCCAATGGAAAACTGCTTGAAAATTTCAGAAGTTTAAAACTGTTTTGCTCATTCTCAGTTGATTCCCGCCAAAAATTCTGAGCCAGGAGTGCTCGGGCCCCCCCTAATAAAAATAACCATAAAAGAGAGCGTAACGACGTGTTCGGGGTACCATCCAAACCATTTGTGGGATAGTTTACCCATCCGTGATACAGTTCGTTTATGGTATTTGTTTATTAGGGCCATGACTCTATCAATTATTGCAATTGAAAATTCAGGTTAATCATAAACACGAGGCTGGTTTTCATACTTTCACCACTGAGCCTGTTGGTTTTTGACTTTGAGCTTGAAATTAATAATGTATTATGAAAAGTATGGATCATTTTTATGAGTTTACAATGCTTGACGATAGATAAGAACAGTAACTGCCTTTAATGCTTCTTAATGCTTTTTAATCTCTCTTAAAGCTTTGAAGCATCCCTCGTTATGTTGATAGAATACATTAGTAACCTTTTATGACGCAAATGCGCCCTTGTTGGTTAAAATCGTGTCTCCAGAAAAACAAAAGAGTGAGCTATGTAGTATATTTGCTTGTTACAATCTTCTCAGTGTCATCGTCCGAGGACCTCACGGCTCTACCACCGCCATACGGCGACGACGACAACAACGAAGGCAACACCTCGGATCCAATGCTGACTGATCAGGATAACCTCAACCATCTTCAAACATTCGCCACCGTTGACGAGACCCGTGGCACTCTGGACGCCGTCGTGGATCGGCACCAGGAGCTGGTATCGGTGGAACAATCCTTGCTTGAAATGCGGGACCTGTTTGTCCTGTTCTCAACCCTGGTGATGGATCACGGTAGTATACTGAATTTAGCCGAGGGGTACGTTCAGGTGGCCTCGGAACATGTGGCCAAAGCGGCAGAGGATATCAAGCAGGCTCGAAAGTTCTACACCCGGTCGAACAACTACAAATGGCTCTGCTTCAGTATGACCCACTGTTTGTCGGTGGTGCTGGTGATATTGATAATGATTGCGGTGTGTATGGCAGTAAAGATATTCCTGCTTTGAAGCAAATAGCGTTGTTTTATGCTGGAAAGAAATCCGATCTACATACTTTTTTTTATCTAGTTCGTTTACTTGTGAGGCTCAATCGCGTTAGCTTTACGGAGTCGATAATTCATTGTTTCTTGTTTGTAACCAAATTCACTTAATTCTATGTCTAGTAGGAGTTGGGCCGAATACTCGTGGCTTACCCGCGGTTAGATGGGTACATTGTCGAAGGATAGGAATAGGGGAGGAGCTGGAGGATAGGGTTCTGTTATCTCATCAGAGCGATGTCGCCAGTATGAACGGTAGTGTGGTTCTAGATTCGTCTGGAGTTCAACCGGCTATGGTGACCACTGGGCGACGATAAGACTCATCGAGACGGGAGACAAGACAAACAAAAACTAATAAAGAGAGACAAAATACAAAGGAATTAAATTCTTATACTAGACATTTGCAGAAACACATAAATCGACTGCATATAGCAGAGATCGCGGGTACCTAACACGTCTCTGATAGGAATATAGGGTGTCTACCTTGGGCCTCGAGGGTATTCAAAAGTCGCTCTCCGGCGGCGTCATTATCCGTACATTGCCAAACTGCGTGATCGATGTCATCGTAACCGTTTCCACAACGACAGATGTCCACGAGGTTTATTCTATGGAGATGCGCATATAGCGAGTAGTGGTTGGACATAAGTATACTCATCACGCGAATGAAGTTACGACTTAAGTCCAAGCCTTTAAACCACCCTCTCGAAGAAACATTAGGAAGAATTAAATGTAACCACCATTAAATTCTCATACAAGACATTTACTATACATACAAGTTTTATTTTGCATTTGCATATAATTACAATTTTAGATTTGTTAAGATAAATAGTTTACCTAATTTAAAACATTGAATTGTATAAACTTGACGAATCATACATTTAACATAGTAGTGGTTACAGTGTCGCTTGACCTAACAACCACTGCCTGCAACTAATGTTGGAGGGGCCGGCAGGGCTGATTACGGATAGAAACTAACATAACTCTAACACTAAAATGATCTCGAAACTACCGCTCATTCATTGCACTTTAAGTCATAAAGAAGTTTTATTTATTTTCGGTGGACATGGGCAAAACAAATTGGATTCTTTTATATAAATGTAATTCTAAAAAGGACCTAGATTATTTAATAGTCCAATAACCTCAAGTCCGCGCTCGGTCACAATTTGTATTGTGATTAGTCAACACTCAATGGGTAAAGTGTACTATTTGAGATGAATTTGAAACAAACGGAACTTGCAGTGTAGAATGATTTCTGAATGGAAAACACAGTGTCACAGTGTAGGTGGACATTTTATTTTACACTCACTATATTGTAATGTTTGAATCAGAGGCAGAGCGCGGAGGCGATAATGTTTGCACCATCGTACAAATAAGGTTCCCGTTTCACCTGTGCATACAATGCCTTGGTTTTTTTAAATCGATGAACCCCGCGAAACATACGAAAATCCACGAACCCCTTATTTTATCTGTCAAACTTTCACAGCGAATCAAAACAAACATAGTGTAGTACTAGAATTTCGACTAGAATGGGGTACGTTAATCATTTGCTTGGGACCAATAGGCTAGTCAAGTAGTGAGCCAATTTAAAATCGTTAGTTTCCACCGGTTGGTAGTAGGCTGTGTATAAAAGAAAATGATTTACTTAGTTTGACAGTTGCACTATGACGAAGTGGCAGCGTATTCGTGATTTGTCCCACGCGCAAATGTCACAAAAAGACATTTCAATCGCCGTGGGAGTGTACCGGTGCACCGTCAAA